ATGTTCAAAAAACATTATAAACCATAACCCATCTTCATTGTACTGTTGACTTATAAATTAGCAGAGAATAAGACATGCTAAGATATGTAAAATTGAAAAACTAATATAACTATTTATATTCTTAATATAAATGTTGTTGTCATAATGAAAAAATATCTGAAATTTAATGCTTAAATGATTGCATATGACAAAAATAGCATATTTCTTTGTAAATGTCATTGACTGTATTGATAACCTCTGATTCTAACTGAAGAAACTGTTGACAACATATACTGTTAGTAGTAATAGCAAAGTTATATTTTGACCTAATTTCCATTGCATAGAATGTTAGTGCAATTCTAAATCAAGCAAAACACAACTTTTTAATGTTTTTAAATTTATTATAAATATTTATAGATTATTTCCATAGAAATAATTGAATTATAGTAATAAAGATTATTTTCAGATTGTATTTTATAAATATACAAAACATTTTTAAAATAACTTGGGTTTAATATAATTAATCAGAAAAATATATTACAAATTATTTTGGAAAATATACTTTTAGTAATTATTCATTTTAATTAGTTGCACAATAAAATTAAATCTACTTTTAAAGATACAAAATTATTTGAAATATGATGATTTGAATATGAGTAAGTTTTTTAATATGTTTGTTTTAATTTTATTAATATGAATGCCTCATCTATATTTTAATGTGTGGTATTGGTAATACAATTGGGATCTAATGTCCATTAGGATTGAACTTATTTTTTTGTTGCACTTTTATGTGTACATTTAGATTAACATTTTGTTTGATATAAGAGTTTGTTAAAATCTTTATTATATATTAATGATATATTAACAGATATTTAAATAGTAAAATTAAGGATAAATTACATTAAAGAAATTCTTGAAATTTATCTTTGTTTTTTATTTCTTAAATTAATACCTTCATTTATTGTCATGTTATAAAATAAAAAAAATTGGCTAACATGAATTCATTTTATATTTTAATTAAGGTATTAAATATTTAATGAAATATATAACCTTCAGTGATTTATTTCATTGTTTTGTGAGTTTTATCTACATCTTTTGACAGTTCAGTAGTGTGGTATATTAAAATGACAAGAATTGTTCTTTTATCTTGTTTCACAACTTGCATTTATTTTTTTCAAATAGCTGTTTAAAATTTTGAAGACTGATTTCATTTGTTAATTAAATTATAAAAGTTTATACCCAAACTTATACTTTTCTAAAGATTACATACATAAATATTTCCAAAATTAGTTTATACATTTCAAATTCCAAATATTTTTTAGTTTTAGTGAATTGATATACATGAAATAAATTAAGAAATTTCATGTGGCAATTGTATAATAGCAATTGATATTCAATAAATAATACCTGTAATTTTTAAAAATTTTTAATAAATCTTGATTTCGAACTAATTTAGACTATTATTAAAATAACCATAATTTAAGCATTGTGTTAAAATGTGACAAATGTGATTCTTACACATGTGTAAATGTAAGAAATTATCATTTACACAGATGATTACAGAAATTTTTTCATTTAATTCTTTAACTTGAAACAAACTACTACTAAGATTCATAGAAAAATTTTTTTAAATCATAGGCACTGATGACAAAGAATTTGACAAAATATTGACAATAAATAAATTAAATCTTCTAATAAGGACTAAATCAAAATAAAATTTAGCCATAAGGTACTTAAGTGAGAAATCTATTATCAACATTTTCTCAAAATTTATCCAAGGGAAGTCTTAGATGCAGATGAAAAATGTTAGTAACTGACTTCTCACTTATGTGTAAGGTTATTATAAGGTTAGAAAATTTTATTTTTAATATTGAGAACTCTTCTTGCATAAAAAGCAGTTGTGCTGCTGTTAGTTTTCAGTGCACTTTTTAAACAGGCTTTTGTATTTTTTTTTAAATAGTTGTACTGTATTCTGAATGTTTGATCATACATTTTGAATAAATTTATTTATTTATTGCTATTTTAAATATAAAACTGAAGTAATAATACAAAAATATTTTGAATGATTCATATAATTATAAAATTTTAGTAATTATTATATTTAATGTAGAAATCAAAATTCTTCAATTATGAATTTGATTTTAAACCTCAAAACATACATTACTACTATCAAATGTTTTTCCTTGTAGTTCAATAGTCTGAGCTTAAGTAAGAAATTTTTTATTTGTTCAATAATATAGTTGAAATAATTCTTAATTTCAACATAACAAAAGCGATCAGATAAAGGAGAGAGGACAAATGAAGATAAGTTTTAGTTTGTAGGTTATATTGTAAATAGTTTATTAGAAATCCTCTTATCAATTAGGTTCTTTTAATTTGTTTATATAATAAAAATTCACTAATGTGTAACTAGTTTTCCATGCATCTGCTTTATAATTTAAAAATTAATTAATTTTTAATTTTTCAGAAGTTCTTGAAAATGAATTTGGGCTGTGCTTTTAAAAACTTTTAATTTTTATTGACTTTATTTTTGCAATGCAGAAATAAAGATATAAAATATCTTTTTATGAAATGAAAATATTTTTGCAATGCAAAAATATTTATAATAAATAAATATTGAATTCAATATTTATTTATTATTAAGAACATTTTTGCAATATGTATTTGTAAATGACTTTAATTTTTGATTACATTTTATATATGATTTATATAGATTTAACTATAACGATAAATTTCTGTTACTATGTTAAACATTTTATATTCTTTTTTCTAAATTTTTTAAAATGTTAAGAGAACAAAAGCTATTTTAATGTTTTGTAGTCACTTGGTAAATGACACTGTAATCCTTTTTTTCTTTTTTTTCTTTTAGATTTCTAGGCAAATTTATTAGTTTTAAGTGACTTGTCAAAAATAATTATTTTTAGAACATCATTCAAATTTATTTGCTTAATTTTTATTACAATTATTATGCTCATTTTTTTCATAAAAAAGTGACCAAAGTAATTCAAAAACAGCATTTTATGTTAAATGGTTTAAAAATTGGCACTTCAAAAAATTTTGTTATTAGTGAAGCAAAATTGGATTTCAAATGAAGAAAGCTATAACTATTATTTGATGATTAATTAATTATGTGAGCATTATAAAGAGCTCTTTTTAGGACTTATCACACACACTATAGAGAACTAACTCAGAGACTGATGAACATTAAATATTTACTGTATTTGTAACCATCGTATTCATTTCGGGCAGACAAGCTATTCCTCTTCAGCCATTACAATCAATAAATTACAAGCATGTAATCCATAATTGTAAATCCATATATCTTGTATCAACAACTTCCTATTAACCATTTGGTTACATGAAATATAAAGAATTTTAATTTTTCTTTAGGTTTGTGGATTGGTTTTAATAATCTCTGTATGGTAAACAAATCTATATAGCTATAGATTAAAGAGCAGAAAATTAAAATTTTTTATATTCTGTGTAACCAAATGGTTAATGGGAGGTTGTTGTTACAAGATTATATGGATTTACAGTTATGGATTACATACTTGTAATTTAGTGACTGTAATGGCTGAAGAGGGATAGCTTGTCTGCCTAAAATACATATCATGGTTACAAATAAATATTTAATATTCATTAGTCTCTGAATTAGTTCTTGATAGTGTGATAAGTCCTAAAATGAGCTATTTAGTGCTTAGATAATTAATAATAGGACAAAAAGCATATTTGATTATTACTGTGAAAACCACTTATTAAATCTATATATTTTTTTAAATACATTTTATTATTCAAAATAACTGAACAATCATTTTTCAATTGATAAGATCATCAAAACTATAGACTAGTGACCTATTCTTAGTCTACTACTGTTAATGTAATAAAAGTTTCAGTTTGCATTCATCTTAAAAAGTATGTCACAAAATAGCTAAGCTGAGGCTAGCCCAATTGAAGCATCTCTTAAATTTTTTTTGAATACTTGAATTTAGTTTATTTGTATGAATATCAGATTTTATAAAATATCTTTTCTAAAGATAATTTTTATCTTTAAACATTCTTATCCTTTAAATATAGTGCCTATAAGTATGGAATTTATTTTTAAATTTGAATAACTTGATACTTTACCTGGTAAGATTAGTCAGACAAAATGTAATACTAAGTACAGTAGCAGTATAATTTCAAACTAAGAGGAAAATGACCTGGAAAAAATGAATTAAAGGTTTTTATTATACATTATCATAAATTATAAATCATAACTATAACCACATTTCAAACCATTGAATTTGTCATATACAAAGAAGGTTGAATTTGACTAATCTCTTTTTAATATTGAAGGTAAAAGTTGAAATTCTGCCAAGTAAATATATAAAATTTAATATGAAAGCTACATATTTTACAGGAAAAAAATTAACCTCCAAATTTAAGCTACTTATAAGAAAATAAAATTGTAAATGAAATATAGTAAACTGTTTTGTAGTATTAATTATACAAATTTTGTAGTATAACAAATTTAAAGTTTATATTTGCTACAAATTTTAAAATTGAATATTTTTATTTCATAGTCTCATCTCTAAAACAATATTCAATCATTGGCTAGCCAGTCTATTAATTTTAATTAAAAAAATATTATGTAAATATCTATTGATAAATACAGAAATGTTAATGATATATATAACATTGAACTAAAGTTTTTCTTTAACTGAGAAAATCTAATTTGCCATTTTCTAAGTCATATAAGACAAAGAGTCACCTCATTCAAAATAAAGTCAGTTAAATTAATTGTTTAATTTAAAAGTAGTGAAATCTGTGTAAGATGACCACTTTGAGCTGGTCTCTTCAGTGGTCACATTAACAGGTTTCACTGTATTCATAATTGAAGAATATTATAAAGTTACTTTTTGGGCTTAAAATTCTAATACAAAATTAATTTATATTAATTTGATAACTAGAAATTTTTTCAAGACAAATTCCTTAATTTATGCAAACCATAATTTTTAATCTTTTTTAAAAATTTCTTTCAGCAACTTTAATTTCTACTGAAGAACAAGGTAAAAGTACTCTACTAGAAATTGGAAAAAAATTTGTTCTAAACTGCAACATTACAAATCCAGCATCAACGGATATTACCTGGTATGAAAAATTTACGTTTAAATCATCTAAATATTGTAAATTATAATTAAAACAATGACTAGAGTTTTAAGTAATAAAATAATCTAAATTTATTTTTATATATAAAGAATAGTGCAATAAATATTTGGAATTAAATGAGAATTGTATAGGAGTTTGCATAGTTATCTACTTACCATATAAATACGTCATGATTATATGATGTCTTTTTATCATCTGTTTAATTTCACTTAATGTAGCATCAAATATATGGGAAGTTAAAAAAAATATGAATTTATTTTAATATATTTTTTTAAAACCATTTTTTAATATTTTTGAAATTAAGTTGCATTAGAGCAGGGGTTGCCAAAGTGGTCGATGAACATCATTCGGGGGGTCAATGCGGCTAAGGGGTCACAACCTTTTTTTTTTTTTTGCTTATACAGAGACCACAACATTTTTTTTTTTTTTTTTTTTTGCTCATACACATACACTTGAAATAAAACTTTACGGTGGGGGTCAATGTAAGGCTTTGGAAAGTGGTTGGGGGTCGACAGTTAAAAAAGTTTGGCGACCCCTGCATTAGAGAGTATTACACACCCAATTAAAGCCGAACTCTATGTGCCTGTGATGTCTCCAGTCACTTAAAAAAAAAAAAGACTTTGCAGGCAGGTAGAATTTGGCTTATAGAGGATATTACACACTAATATTGTGGTTTCCCATAAAGAAGACTTCAGAAAAGAGATGTTTGCTATTGCTGAAAATTGTTGAATTGAATGTGTTTTAAAACGTTTTAATGTTAATAACATAATATGAGTAGAATATACTAAAATGTTATAATACACAAGTGTGAATAAAATATAATAATGCATGTTGAGTAATTTACACTTATTGACTTCACTCTTTCAGTGTATTCTGTGAGAATTAAACAAAAATTTATTTTAGGATGAAAATTTTTGATAAATTGGTCTGTTAAAATGAGGGCTTGTTTTATACAAGTGGCATTTAAAAGGTTTTTGACAAACAAAAACATTGGTGAAAAATACTTTTTATTCAAAATATCCTTACACTCTGTACATTGTTTAATTCATCTAGAACACTTTCACGTTTTTGCGTTGAATACTTCGGCCGCAACCTCGCTAATGATTCTAAAAGTACTTAAATAACCAAAGCATTTTGATTTTCACCTTGAATACTTGTATACAACTATGTGTAAAAATATAACCAGGCCTCAGAGTTACTGACTTTTCTCACTTGTACTTCAATTTTTTGAAGTATCATCTTTTCTCACCTTTCATTTTTTCACTTTTTTGATCATTTTTACGTGCTTAATTAAGATGTGGGACCAATCAAAAATAATTTTAAATCCAAATGATCTGCCGAATTATCGACTAGAATTTTCNATTAGAATATATCATAACATAGATCCAATATATAAAACATTTTTTAGCGATAAAAATTCACCAAACACTTACGGTTGTTTACTGTTCGACAAATTTAATCACTTTTCTACTCTATCAAATAGAATCTTCGAATTCAATTTTAACAGTCTTAAAGTAATATTTTAAATCCAAATGATCTGCCGAATTATCGACTAGAATTTTCCGGAAGAAAATGCTCGGCCCTGAGCGGGACTGAAAACCGCAACTTCTGCTTAGTGTTGTTAGGTTATAGGAAACAAAAATTTCTTTCACATATGTAAAAAGTCTTTCATGCACTAAAAATCTCTCATTACAAATTCAGAAGCCAATATTGAATAAAGTTATATACTCATGCCATATTGTCATTATTAGCCAAAATCTAGTTCTTCAGAGTTGCATTTATATCTACAGGGATTAAAAATAAATATTTCAAGCATCCCTTCGCTTTTGGCTGTTTTCTAAGAAACTATGCTGAGGGATTAATTTCTCAAGCTGACAACACTGCTACTGCTTCTAAATTTAAAATGTATTATAATTATTAAAATTCACACGAGCTAGTTGCGTAACTTCTTACCTTTAGACAAATTATTTCTTTTCAGACCATTTAATTATTTTTTTATAGCCCAATAATTTGGCAGATCATTTGGTTTTAATTAACAATTGGGTTATGAAGTTGTCGTTTACGAGAATATTTTTTACTTTATCTTTAAATAATTTCATAAAGTTGAGTTAAATAGAATAGTTATTTTAATGATTTCATAGCATAATCACATCTATATACAATATTCCTAAATGTATGTTTAAATTGACTGTAAGTATAATTATTCCATGTAGTAAGTATTATTTTCATAAAATGTGTGATTACTTTATTTGTGAAATACAGTATCCATTTTTTAATCTCATCTCTTATGCTGATTATAAGNATATGATATAGCACATGCAAATTATGAACAAGGAACAGAAAAGTGACAGATGTGTTTTTCTCCCTTCTGTAAATACATGGCTTACTAGAAATTTTCTGTGCAAATGATTGCCATATTGAATTGGGCTAATTTACCACTACTATTAATAATAATAATTTTAATAAACCCTAAAAAAAATAATAAATTAAGGATTACAGGAGTTAAGAAATATTGATATTTTAAAAACAACTCTGGTTTTAATCATTCCTAAGTAGTATATTACTTTTGTTTATCTGAGACAAAATATATTTCCTCTGTCTGGATCAGCTTTTATTTTGAGTGTTATCTGTTTCAGGTGTCATGCTGCCCATTGAAAAATTTGCAATTTACAAAAATTTTATTCATCAGGCAAGTACTTTTATTATCTGATGATTGCAGTGGTGACTAGCCACAGTGCAGTCCATAAAAGTCACCCAATGAAAGTGTCACAGAACATGAATCTGTTTTGACTGATAAGATTTTACTATTAATAAACAAAGTTCATTGAGAAACTGTCAATAATTATTTTATATTTTTTTTACAAAATTTCACAGTAGATGAAAATGTAACCTGGTGTATAACTTCTATTTTGGTGACTAAAAACTGGGAAATAGGAAGTTGGAAAATAGATTGACGATTGCTATAAAAAAGCCAGGGTGACCCATGCTTATAAAGTGAGATTTGAATATGAAATTATTCATAAAAATTTAAGATAGGATCTGAATTTGTTTTTCAATAGTATGCCATTTACTGTAATATGCAACATATTAACAACTATTAGATTGATATTCAAACAATAACATAGTATAATAAAAACAATGCTCTAATACTTAAATTTGTATCATATGTACAGTTGTTTCCAGATCCATTAACACAAAATAAGGATATCAGAAATATAGATTTTTTAGATTAAACAGTTTTTTTGATATTGAATATAATGAATAAAGTAAATTAAGTACTCTTTACAAATAAAAATGCATTTTTATTTATGATATAAACTGATTAGATAGTAAATTTAAATGTTAATTTATATTTTGTGTTCTGTTTATTAATTTTAGCAATTTAATATATGTTAATTAGGAAATTAGAGTAATTTGCAAGTGTTAAAATTAAATACTTAAAATTTAAAATTTCTTAAGTTTTAATTAACAAAATGCAATAATTTGTTTATATTAAAATGAACTTGTTGTTTATTACATTTTTCATAAATCAAGGATGAAATTAAATCACTTACTATAGAACATATTAATTATTCATATTAATTAAATATTGAGACAGTTGTATTTATAAATATTAAAGTTAATGTTCAAAAAACATTATAAACCATAACCCATCTTCATTGTACTGTTGACTTATAAATTAGCAGAGAATAAGACATGCTAAGATATGTAAAATTGAAAAACTAATATAACTATTTATATTCTTAATATAAATGTTGTTGTCATAATGAAAAAATATCTGAAATTTAATGCTTAAATGATTGCATATGACAAAAATAGCATATTTCTTTGTAAATGTCATTGACTGTATTGATAACCTCTGATTCTAACTGAAGAAACTGTTGACAACATATACTGTTAGTAGTAATAGCAAAGTTATATTTTGACCTAATTTCCATTGCATAGAATGTTAGTGCAATTCTAAATCAAGCAAAACACAACTTTTTAATGTTTTTAAATTTATTATAAATATTTATAGATTATTTCCATAGAAATAATTGAATTATAGTAATAAAGATTATTTTCAGATTGTATTTTATAAATATACAAAACATTTTTAAAATAACTTGGGTTTAATATAATTAATCAGAAAAATATATTACAAATTATTTTGGAAAATATACTTTTAGTAATTATTCATTTTAATTAGTTGCACAATAAAATTAAATCTACTTTTAAAGATACAAAATTATTTGAAATATGATGATTTGAATATGAGTAAGTTTTTTAATATGTTTGTTTTAATTTTATTAATATGAATGCCTCATCTATATTTTAATGTGTGGTATTGGTAATACAATTGGGATCTAATGTCCATTAGGATTGAACTTATTTTTTTGTTGCACTTTTATGTGTATATTTAGATTAACATTTTGTTTGAAATAAGAGTTTGTTAAAATCTTTATTATATATTAATGATATATTAACAGATATTTAAATAGTAAAATTAAGGATAAATTACATTAAAGAAATTCTTGAAATTTATCTTTGTTTTTTATTTCTTAAATTAATACCTTCATTTATTGTCATGTTATAAAATAAAAAAAATTGGCTAACATGAATTCATTTTATATTTTAATTAAGGTATTAAATATTTAATGAAATATATAACCTTCAGTGATTTATTTCATTGTTTTGTGAGTTTTATCTACATCTTTTGACTGTTCAGTAGTGTGGTATATTAAAATGACAAGAATTGTTCTTTTATCTTGTTTCACAACTTGCATTTATTTTTTTCAAATAGCTGTTTAAAATTTTGAAGACTGATTTCATTTGTTAATTAAATTATAAAAGTTTATACCCAAACTTATACTTTTCTAAAGATTACATACATAAATATTTCCAAAATTAGTTTATACATTTCAAATTCCAAATATTTTTTAGTTTTAGTGAATTGATATACATGAAATAAATTAAGAAATTTCATGTGGCAATTGTATAATAGCAATTGATATTCAATAAATAATACCTGTAATTTTTAAAAATTTTTAATAAATCTTGATTTCGAACTAATTTAGACTATTATTAAAATAACCATAATTTAAGCATTGTGTTAAAATGTGACAAATGTGATTCTTACACATGTGTAAATGTAAGAAATTATCATTTACACAGATGATTACAGAAATTTTTTCATTTAATTCTTTAACTTGAAACAAACTACTACTAAGATTCATAGAAAAATTTTTTTAAATCATAGGCACTGATGACAAAGAATTTGACAAAATATTGACAATAAATAAATTAAATCTTCTAATAAGGACTAAATCAAAATAAAATTTAGCCATAAGGTACTTAAGTGAGAAATCTATTATCAACATTTTCTCAAAATTTATCCAAGGGAAGTCTTAGATGCAGATGAAAAATGTTAGTAACTGACTTCTCACTTATGTGTAAGGTTATTATAAGGTTAGAAAATTTTATTTTTAATATTGAGAACTCTTCTTGCATAAAAAGCAGTTGTGCTGCTGTTAGTTTTCAGTGCACTTTTTAAACAGGCTTTTGTATTTTTTTTTAAATAGTTGTACTGTATTCTGAATGTTTGATCATACATTTTGAATAAATTTATTTATTTATTGCTATTTTAAATATAAAACTGAAGTAATAATACAAAAATATTTTGAATGATTCATATAATTATAAAATTTTAGTAATTATTATATTTAATGTAGAAATCAAAATTCTTCAATTATGAATTTGATTTTAAACCTCAAAACATACATTACTACTATCAAATGTTTTTCCTTGTAGTTCAATAGTCTGAGCTTAAGTAAGAAATTTTTTATTTGTTCAATAATATAGTTGAAATAATTCTTAATTTCAACATAACAAAAGCGATCAGATAAAGGAGAGAGGACAAATGAAGATAAGTTTTAGTTTGTAGGTTATATTGTAAATAGTTTATTAGAAATCCTCTTATCAATTAGGTTCTTTTAATTTGTTTATATAATAAAAATTCACTAATGTGTAACTAGTTTTCCATGCATCTGCTTTATAATTTAAAAATTAATTAATTTTTAATTTTTCAGAAGTTCTTGAAAATGAATTTGGGCTGTGCTTTTAAAAACTTTTAATTTTTATTGACTTTATTTTTGCAATGCAGAAATAAAGATATAAAATATCTTTTTATGAAATGAAAATATTTTTGCAATGCAAAAATATTTATAATAAATAAATATTGAATTCAATATTTATTTATTATTAAGAACATTTTTGCAATATGTATTTGTAAATGACTTTAATTTTTGATTACATTTTATATATGATTTATATAGATTTAACTATAACGATAAATTTCTGTTACTATGTTAAACATTTTATATTCTTTTTTCTAAATTTTTTAAAATGTTAAGAGAACAAAAGCTATTTTAATGTTTTGTAGTCACTTGGTAAATGACACTGTAATCCTTTTTTTCTTTTTTTTCTTTTAGATTTCTAGGCAAATTTATTAGTTTTAAGTGACTTGTCAAAAATAATTATTTTTAGAACATCATTCAAATTTATTTGCTTAATTTTTATTACAATTATTATGCTCATTTTTTTCATAAAAAAGTGACCAAAGTAATTCAAAAACAGCATTTTATGTTAAATGGTTTAAAAATTGGCACTTCAAAAAATTTTGTTATTAGTGAAGCAAAATTGGATTTCAAATGAAGAAAGCTATAACTATTATTTGATGATTAATTAATTATGTGAGCATTATAAAGAGCTCTTTTTAGGACTTATCACACACACTATAGAGAACTAACTCAGAGACTGATGAACATTAAATATTTACTGTATTTGTAACCATCGTATTCATTTCGGGCAGACAAGCTATTCCTCTTCAGCCATTACAATCAATAAATTACAAGCATGTAATCCATAATTGTAAATCCATATATCTTGTATCAACAACTTCCTATTAACCATTTGGTTACATGAAATATAAAGAATTTTAATTTTTCTTTAGGTTTGTGGATTGGTTTTAATAATCTCTGTATGGTAAACAAATCTATATAGCTATAGATTAAAGAGCAGAAAATTAAAATTTTTTATATTCTGTGTAACCAAATGGTTAATGGGAGGTTGTTGTTACAAGATTATATGGATTTACAGTTATGGATTACATACTTGTAATTTAGTGACTGTAATGGCTGAAGAGGGATAGCTTGTCTGCCTAAAATACATATCATGGTTACAAATAAATATTTAATATTCATTAGTCTCTGAATTAGTTCTTGATAGTGTGATAAGTCCTAAAATGAGCTATTTAGTGCTTAGATAATTAATAATAGGACAAAAAGCATATTTGATTATTACTGTGAAAACCACTTATTAAATCTATATATTTTTTTAAATACATTTTATTATTCAAAATAACTGAACAATCATTTTTCAATTGATAAGATCATCAAAACTATAGACTAGTGACCTATTCTTAGTCTACTACTGTTAATGTAATAAAAGTTTCAGTTTGCATTCATCTTAAAAAGTATGTCACAAAATAGCTAAGCTGAGGCTAGCCCAATTGAAGCATCTCTTAAATTTTTTTTGAATACTTGAATTTAGTTTATTTGTATGAATATCAGATTTTATAAAATATCTTTTCTAAAGATAATTTTTATCTTTAAACATTCTTATCCTTTAAATATAGTGCCTATAAGTATGGAATTTATTTTTAAATTTGAATAACTTGATACTTTACCTGGTAAGATTAGTCAGACAAAATGTAATACTAAGTACAGTAGCAGTATAATTTCAAACTAAGAGGAAAATGACCTGGAAAAAATGAATTAAAGGTTTTTATTATACATTATCATAAATTATAAATCATAACTATAACCACATTTCAAACCATTGAATTTGTCATATACAAAGAAGGTTGAATTTGACTAATCTCTTTTTAATATTGAAGGTAAAAGTTGAAATTCTGCCAAGTAAATATATAAAATTTAATATGAAAGCTACATATTTTACAGGAAAAAAATTAACCTCCAAATTTAAGCTACTTATAAGAAAATAAAATTGTAAATGAAATATAGTAAACTGTTTTGTAGTATTAATTATACAAATTTTGTAGTATAACAAATTTAAAGTTTATATTTGCTACAAATTTTAAAATTGAATATTTTTATTTCATAGTCTCATCTCTAAAACAATATTCAATCATTGGCTAGCCAGTCTATTAATTTTAATTAAAAAAATATTATGTAAATATCTATTGATAAATACAGAAATGTTAATGATATATATAACATTGAACTAAAGTTTTTCTTTAACTGAGAAAATCTAATTTGCCATTTTCTAAGTCATATAAGACAAAGAGTCACCTCATTCAAAATAAAGTCAGTTAAATTAATTGTTTAATTTAAAAGTAGTGAAATCTGTGTAAGATGACCACTTTGAGCTGGTCTCTTCAGTGGTCACATTAACAGGTTTCACTGTATTCATAATTGAAGAATATTATAAAGTTACTTTTTGGGCTTAAAATTCTAATACAAAATTAATTTATATTAATTTGATAACTAGAAATTTTTTCAAGACAAATTCCTTAATTTATGCAAACCATAATTTTTAATCTTTTTTAAAAATTTCTTTCAGCAACTTTAATTTCTACTGAAGAACAAGGTAAAAGTACTCTACTAGAAATTGGAAAAAAATTTGTTCTAAACTGCAACATTACAAATCCAGCATCAACGGATATTACCTGGTATGAAAAATTTACGTTTAAATCATCTAAATATTGTAAATTATAATTAAAACAATGACTAGAGTTTTAAGTAATAAAATAATCTAAATTTATTTTTATATATAAAGAATAGTGCAATAAATATTTGGAATTAAATGAGAATTGTATAGGAGTTTGCATAGTTATCTACTTACCATATAAATACGTCATGATTATATGATGTCTTTTTATCATCTGTTTAATTTCACTTAATGTAGCATCAAATATATGGGAAGTTAAAAAAAATATGAATTTATTTTAATATATTTTTTTAAAACCATTTTTTAATATTTTTGAAATTAAGTTACATTAGAGCAGGGGTTGCCAAAGTGGTCGATGAACATCATTCGGGGGGTCAATGCGGCTAAGGGGTCACAACCTTTTTTTTTTTTTT